CGAGCAGCGCTTTGCCTCTTGTTGGTCCATAGACTTCTTGAGCCTTAGAAGTAAGGCCCATGTGGTCTTTAATTACTGTAAGTGATCAAGACCACAGTTTAATATTTCCTGATAGAAATGGAATTTACAGCGGAATCACACCCTCACACCCACATGCCTCCATTCAATAAAACACTAAGGAGTAAACCAAAATCATATGAGGTTGTATAATTCAGGAACATAATAATTTTCCAACTGTAGTCATATTAAACAAAGTCCTAATGGCCTTAGTTCTTTCTACAGAAAGCCCCAATTAATTTGAAAGGAAATTGAAAAGTGAGAGAAGTCATCATCACATATGTGGACCATCAAGAATAATAGTCCTATATAATAACATAACTAGTATAATATAGTATTAGCACACAGAGGAAAAATTTTGTTTGCTTTGTTTCAATGACCCAATTAATAGTCAATTTTTAACATTCTAATGCTATATATCCTTCACAACAAGGGTAATTGGAGTGACCAGTTGTCACAGAAGAGATATGTGGAGTTTTTAATGTATCCTCTTTTCATTTTGTAATTATTCTCAACTTCGTATTTTTAGTTTTTGATTGAGCAAAACACATAACCAGTTGCAAAAATGTGCCTAAGTCCATGTCAAACAAGAATTTAGGTATGTATTTAACATCACTTTGAGCTTAGAATTAAGTTGGTTCTATGCTAAATCAGTTTGATTCCAAATTATAGGACTTCCTTTGAGATGCTGCTTTACAAACTATTGTGTCTCTCTGAGGTAGCCAAAGGCCAGATGAAATATACCATCTCATCCTGTTACTTTAATAATTGAATTAATATAGGACTTGTTCATTATTGTTCATTTTTTCATAGCTAATAATTAATCTGCTTGTGCTTCATTTCAGTCAATGTCATGAAAGCATACCTGACATTGGCTAAAATAGTTATAATAATCAAGATGTTGTTAACACTGTTTTGAGAGTAATATTTCTGTCTTGCAGGATGATGCTGATGTGGAATGGAAGTTTGCTAGGGCTAAGCTTTGGTTTTCTTACTTTGAGGAGGGGAGAACTCTTCCAGTACCGTTCAACCTTGTGCCAAGTCCAAAATCTTTCCTTTATCTCTTACTCAGAATTAAAAAATGGATATCAAAACTGTTCCTATGCCATCAGAAAGGTTTTCAGGAAGATGCAGAAATGAATACGGTAATTTTAAATATACACTTTATATTACTTTTAAGTATAAATAATTTTACCCTGTCGTTGCTTACGTTGACTTGAGTTGAAATTGTATGTTCTTAGCCTCCCTCAAAATTAGGCCACCTAATCAATACCTGTACTACTGAAGTAAAAATGGATTTTTAAGTGCGCACAGTTCAGAGCACACCAGAGATGGCAGAATTACTGAAAAGAAGAGAGTAGTACAGCATAGTCCTCTGCGATGGCAGTTAGAGCTTTGTTCTTGTCACTCCTTTGAGATTTGTCTTTACTAGTTCCATGCACCATTACATGATAATGATCTCTCCTCTTCCCTCCAAGTGCTTTCTGTGTCCCTGTTCTTTTCCTCTTCTTACTTGTATTAAAAGATAAGATTTTCCATTAGAGATTAACAAGGAAAATCTGGTTGTAATCGTAGGAGAGGAGAAAAGAACTATATGAGCAGCATTATTAAGTTGCATTGTAACCTGCCTCTGACCAATTACACAGCAGATTATAAATCTAACTTGGATGTTGCAAATAATATCAAGAAAATCAATGTTTTGTGGTTTCCCTCTTAACTGATTTTTAGCTGTGTATTCTGAAAATCTAGGAATTATACTATCCTTATACAAAGTTCACCTTATTTTACTTGGGAAATGAAAATATTTCATACCCATGATCAGTGCCACTGCAGTTTGCTTTTGTTTATAATGACCTCACTATTTCCAGTTTCCACAAGTTGCAAATTGCCCAGACGCAAATTGATTTTACAGCTTTCTTGGGTGAGAAGGGTGTCAAACTGAAAGGCAGAAGATGTAAATACAGTCAAAATGGGCTGAGAGACAATAAAGCCGAGGCTTTGAATTTTTTGGATGGATTTCAATGAGACAGGTGCTCTGTATTTACTACAGTACTCTTGAAAACTTCCATATTCATTCTGTATAGGCCCCAAACTGAGTTTTCACCATTACCCTTAAGTATGTTCAAACCTAGTTGTTTTTAGAAAGGTGCAAACCACCATTATTTCCTCAATTTATCATAGACAAAGCCCTAGAAGGACAGCTTAGTTTTTGTTAAGATTTATGGATAGCTTAGAAAAGCATCAGCTATGGGGATGTAAGGCCTGTCTCTCAGGGCTTTTTCCGTCCCTGAATTAGTATTTAAATACTTGTCAAATTCAGTTTTCCATAAGCTGGAGAATGATTATAGATGATCAGATGCTAAATAAAGATTTCCTCTGCAGCCAAAGCAGCTATAAAACTTTGAATCTAAATAAAATGCATTTCTTGTACTGAAAAGGCATAAAGTCTTCTGAGCTCCCATTTGCTGGCTATTTATGTTTTTCTCCACTGAGTCTGAAAGTAGTTATAGTTTTGATTTTGGAGGTCTATACACTTTAGAGTCCAGCCTGCCTCAATCCTAAATAAAAAAGACCTAAAAAACAAGAACGGCATCTTCCTCCATTTTTTTTCCCCAAAGGTTGGGGGTTTTTTCTTTCTAGTCTGTATAATAATTAATTCCATCTCCCATTTAGAGTTGCTATGAATTTCACTATTTTAATGTCCTCCTCAGCATGTCATTGTCAGTCAGAGTCCCTGTAAATTGCCATTATAAAGGGGTTCACCTTGCAATCCTTTACTTAGTTGATCTGTCTATACTCTTGTGAGTAATCCTAGTTGACCAACTGAACAGTATATGGCTGTGCAGGATCAGATACAAGCTAATGTGTTATTCCACAAATAGATCTAATGTGCTCAGTACAGAAAGTCACATCAGTAACAGTAAAACAGAGAAAAGCTGTAGAAAAAGAAGAAAGTCTGCAACTAGTGGTGAACTTGCTTAGTTTCCCAGAGGCAGGAAACCAAGTCAGACATTCCAGACATTTGCCTGAAAATGCCTCAAGTGGTACTCAAAAGTTATCATACCATAAGCTAGTTTCCTTACTCATGTTCAACAAAAAGGCTTGGGACTTGTTCTGTTTGGGATATCATTTCATTCTCTACAGCCTCCGGTAGGGCTACCACTCCAACCTGGAGTTGTGTTTTACACAGGCTTAATGAATAAACAACTGAAAAAGAGAAAAGTAAATAAAAGAAATTTAGAGCTCAAGTCCTTGACAAACTCAGGTCAGGGACCATGAAACATTCATTTTCCTGAACTAAAAATTGAGACAAGAGTGTCAGCAAGCTGTTGGTCTCAAATATGGGCCTTCTAAAAAGAAATACAAAGCAGCTGGTGGCTATTTTAAATGAGAAAATAAATAAGACACATTTACATAATATCAGAAATTTTTTTCTAGATTCAAACAATGTAAAATATCATCATACATCATTTTTACTCAACCAATATTATGCACTATGGCCAACATTTTCAAAAATGCCCTCTGAATTTTGAGTGCCCAAGCTAGTCAACTTGGGGTTTATTTTCAGATCTTCTGGGCACCCCACAACTCAAGCTGAAGTCCATAGGAACGTTGAAGTCTCACTAGTTCTGATAATCACATTCAACTTGTCAGGTTGATCAGCAAGAAGCTAAGACAGGAACAATCAGCAGCCACTTTTGAAAATTTGGCTGTAAGATATTAACGACGAGCATAGTAGACCTGGCCTATTACTTTAAAAAGCCAGGATTAATTTTTAAAAGATGCAAAACAATAACACATGATAATGAGAGGTAGCATAAAGAAATACTTTTTAGAATCAGAGCTTTAAGACACTAGACTTCTTTTATTATCCAGCATTCACCTTGTTGCTTGTACAGGTGCATTTTCATTCAGATAAGTGAGACATAGTATGACTTACTTATGCAGTACTGTATGTTTTATAATTTTTTGGCAAAATATGTAAGTTTATGTGTAAAAGTACTGTGTGTCTAAGTGCATTGCTGCACTTAAACATGGGAATTTCTGTCAGATACTTGGGTGCTGGGAATCTATTGTTTTCCCCAGATTCTTATGGACTGACTGAAAATATGCTGGTGATAGAATCCTAGGTTTAGGATTAGGTTTTTCCTTACTTTAGTTTAACAAATTTAGTTTACTTTCTGAGGCATTTTCAGGAACAAAAATGCCAAAAGCAAAAAGCTTAGTGAGAATGTCTGAAATTTTATGACTGAAATAGAAATGAAATTTTAGCATTCAGTGCCACCATGTGGTTATACATTGTGTAACAGTGTATACCCCTTTTCCATCTTTCTTACAGATAGGTTGGATGTAACAAAATAACATATTTTTATATTATTTGATTTACCTTCCTACCTTTACTAAAAAGTCCATTGTGATTATATTGCAACACATTTACTATTGTTTGCAAATACTTAAAATGCCAATGAGAGAAAAGGTAGTACGAAATGCCATTCATTTCCACCACTCATAAGTGGAATTATGCAAATTTCACTAAAGATACATGGAAGCAGATTGGATTAAACACATTTTTTATTACATGCTTCTTTATATGATCTTTTTATTTAAATCAAGTAGTTTTCTTTAAAAAATAATCCTATCAAAATAAATTTGAAATTGACAACCTATATGAAGGCCTACATTTATTATAATCTACTAAAAATGTTTAAATTTAATAAAAATAGTAATAATAAGCACTGTACATTTTTGTTCCTGCAGTTTTAAAGAAAGCCTGAGTGCTGTACTGGTGGAAGTCATTAGCTAAACATTCAGAAGCAGAGTTGGATGACATGCTAAACCAGCTTTTGATTGATTGTAGTCTTTTCTGCAGATGCAGAGAGAATATTTTCTTCACTTCAGTTCATTTAATCAGTTGGGTTCAATGAATAGCTCATTGAAAGCTCAAGAACAAATTTCAAAAATTGTTTTTCTCCTTCATTCTAGGAATGAAACATTTATGTGAATGGATGAGATCTGAGATCTACTAGCTCTGACATTTTTAAGGACATGGGTCAGGTCTAATTTGGTTTGACATATCTAAATGAGACTTAATGAATTAATGTGCCTGTGTTTCATTGATTAATCCAGCTTGTCTCAGCTTCACAAGCCACAAAATGGAGGCAGCTTCTAGGCTTTGGTAGTGCCTCCACTTCAGATTGCAAGTTATCTTGCTACCTAAACTTGGTATACACAGATGCCATACAGTATGATCACCTAAGTCCTGCCTAAATCCTGCCTAAGCTGCCAACTACAATCCAGTTTGGTGGTGGGGAGATGCCTAAACCCCAAGAGGGACCCAAACCATTAGACCACAAAGGGATTTGAATCCACATCTCTTGCTTCCCTAACCACTGGGAGTTGAAAATGCAACCTTCCCTCTGTGCCAGCTTGGCAGTTTGCCTTAGTTAGGATGTTTTACAGCAAGCCTTGCTCATCCATTCCCACTAGCTTTCTCCAGAAATATGCCCCAGCACCCACTTGGTGGTATTCCTCTGATGCTGCTGTCCAAACCGCTGCTTCTGGCATGCTTGAGAATGGCCATTGAGCATGCTCCCTGAGTGGCATGCTCCCTGAGTGGTATTTCTGGGTTTGGAGCATGTATGTGGGAATAAATGGGATGGGTGTGCTTGGGAAACATCCAAGCCTTGTCTCTACTGCAGTAGAGCAGAGTCTGGCTCCCCACCTGCTGCTGCCTACTGTGGACTCAGGTGGAGGGGGTAGTATCAGTTCCCTTGTGTGGTATGCACTCCTGGAGGGGCAGAGTAGGACCCATGCTCCCTAGATCTGTGCATGGGGTGGGGGTGAGGCAGGCACAGGCAGTAAGGGCAGCAGCATGGGGTTGCGCCCCTTATAGCCACTGTGTATGCAGGGGGCACATTGCGAGGGAGCCCAGGCCCTGTCCCCCAAACTCTGGACGAGCTGCCCATGGCCTCATCCCACTCCCCACTGGGGTCCCAGCCCTGCCAATTCTCTCTCTCCCTACAGGGGCTCAATTTCCACACGCACATGCACACACACAGGCACACACACACACACTCTGCTCTCCAGGCTGCCTGGGGCCATGTGCATGTATAATACATGTACATGGTGCCCCTTACCTGACCAT